AAAAAAAAAAAAAAAAAAGAAAGAATTTGGTTTTATGATAAGGAATGCCAGAGAACTGCAGAGCTTATGAAAAACCTAATGCAGTATGACCAGTTGAAAGCCCACCAGGGAGCTGGAGCAGGACTCTGCCCAGTGATCCTCAATTTAGGAGAGGGCATAGAAGTAGATATCTTGCAAATGCTCACCAAGACCAAAGATGAATACACAAAGTGTAAAACCTACTCTGAGCCAAAAAAGACAGCCATCTATGACAACCCCAATCTCATCAAACCAATTCCAGTGAAACCCAGAAACAGCACAGACCTTAGCCTAGCCAGATCTTAGACCCTGAGCCCCAGCACTTATCCTAAATAGATCTGTTTGGGAAGCAGGAGAGAGCTGTGTGTCAGGAAGTTGCAGAGTCTCCACAGTCCCTCCAGCAGCAGCAACAGAGAGAAAAACTTCCAGTTAGGCAAGGGGTTGTATGCTCCCTGTCTTATGAGGAACCAAAGAGATGCTCACCCCCGATTGAGAAGCAGCTGTGTCCAGAAGCTCATGGTCAGTTCAGACCTGTACCCATTGGCAGAGCTGCCTAAACAGTAGCCCTGTGAAAATCGCAGTACCCATTCTTTGGGAGAAGTTTTTGCTGGACCTGTCCAGCCACAGTCTCTCCATAACATTAGGATTTCTCATGGTGCACAAAATGCTTCCAGAACTTAGAACCTGTTAGAGAAACTTCAGAATTCCCCAGGGGCAGCAAATCCCAGCCAAGCTCCCACTTCTGCCACCCCTGTGGCTTCAGGAAAGGGCCTGGCTCAGCCACCACTGGTCTATTTCAACAGCTCCCTTCCACCTCAGACACAAGGACTTCAGGCTCCTGGGAAGGAACAGGCCACACTCCCGATACGACCACTCCTCCTCCCTGGCTATCAGAATAGTAGTTCTGGAGTGATGTCCCCTCAAGAGTTGCTCAAGACCTGCAGAAGCTCCAGGCTTTGCAGCAGGAGCAGCAGCTGCACGTGTCCAGCCGCCCAGCCCTGGCAGCTGAGTTTCCTGTGGTTGGTTGGAGCCCTGGAACAGGGCAACCCTTGGAATCCTAGATCAACAAGACATCCAGCACATCCAGCTCCTCTTTTGTGCCTCACCTCAGCACATCCCTACTACAACGGCTCCCTTTCTGTTCATGACAATCTACCTGTGCCCCAGCAAAGGAGCATGAGTGTAGGCTCTTGCCTGCAGGAGGCCCAGAAGCACCTGTGGCCTCCAGCAGCCTCCTCCTGCCCGTGCAGAGCCCTTAGCCCTCTGTGGCCACCAGCACCCTGCTCACCAAACTTCAGCTCCAGGAAGTACTGCTGTACCTCCAGAATGATGACAACTTCTTTTTTTTTTTGAGACAGAGCCTCAAGCTGTCCCCCCAGGTAGAGTGCTGTAGCATCACAGCTCACAGCAACTTCCAACTCCTGGGCTCAAGTGAATCTCCTGCCTCAACCTCCCAAGTAGCTGGGACCACAGACGTCCACCACAATGCTGGCTATTTTTTGGTTGCAGCCGTCATTGTTGTTTGGCAGGCCCCGGCTGGATCTGAACCTGCCACCTTAGGTGTATATGGCTGGCACCTTAGCCACTTGAGTCATAGGTGCCGAGCTGACAACTTCTTCTTCTTCTTTTTTTTTTTTTATCAGTTTTTTTTAGCTAGGGCTGGGATTGAACCCACCACCTCCAGCATATGGGGCCAGCGCCCTACCCCTGTAAGCCACAGGCGCCACCCCACAACTTCTTAAATACAATCTACAAAATCTATCTCTTCAGCATGACACAAGCAGCCATGAAAAAGACTATGTGAAAACACGGCAGCACCTGTGGCTCAAAGGAGTAGGCGCCAGCCCTATATGCCATAGGTGGTAGGTTCAAACCCAGTCCCGGCCAGAAACTGCAAAAAAAGAAAAATGACTATGTGAAAACAAGTCTTCCAACACAAGGTTCCTTCTTTGTCAAGTGGTATTATCCTGAATGTTTCCACATTTTTTTTTGCAGTATTTGGCTGGGGCTGGGTTTGAACCCGCCACTTCCGGCATATGGGGCCAGTGCCCTACTCCTTTGAGCCACAGGTGCCACCCATGTTTCCACATTTTTAAAAAAGTATGTGTAATATGAAGTAAAATGTTTCAGACTTTATATATATATATAAAAGTTAATGATGGTTATCTTCACCTAGTAGAATTACAGTAAACTCTCACTTAACATTATCAATGGGTTCTTAGAAACTACAGCTTTGGCTCGGCGGCCAAGGCGCCAGCCACGTACACCTAAGGTGGCGGGTTCGAATCCCCAGCCTGACCCGCCAAACAACAATGACGGCTGCAACCAAAAAATAGCCGGGCGTTGTGGTGGGTGCCTGTAGTCCCAGCTACTTGGGAGGCGGAGGCAGGAGA